AAAAAAAAAAAAAAAAAAAGGAGCTATGTTCTGCTTTCTAAGGCGTCTTCACAAGCTGAGGTCGGAAGCTGAAACTTGTGCAGCTCGGCGGCCTTGCCATCTCCGGCGATTTGACCTTCACACGTTCTAAACCCGCGGGCCTTCTTGGCCTGCAAAGGCATGCAGAAATGTCTGTCCTGTGCCCCGGGCCCCCTTTTCTGTCCAGCTGGTCAGCAAGAGGGCGGTTTCCAACGTTCGGAACCTTTTTGTTGTTCCCGTCTGCCGCATGAGAAAGGGCAGTCAAACACGGCCCAACGACTCGCAGGATCCCTTCGAAACCCTGCAGAGCTCTCATAGCGACTGATCCTTTTTGCAGAAATATAAATAGCCTGAATACTCTGGGGCCACCCCCTAAAACCTCTCAAGGCCTACAATCAGATTCTGCAGCCATGGAAGTGGACTCGAAGCTGATTTCAGACAGCGCCAACTCACTCTCCCGTGTTGAGCTCCCAAGGGCCTGGCCAAGCCAAAGATCCAACATATGTATATATGTACCATTACAAAGCGAAAGAACATGGAAACTGCTACTGAGGGTCTAGGGTCTAGAGTTTAGNNGGAGAATGGAAAAAAACATGGAAACTACCATTATGGAGAACCCAATGCGAAAGAAATTGAGAATGAAACGTAAACTGGGGATGTGTGGCACTATACTTTAGACACATGGAATCGCAGTTGCCAAACTCCTGTGTCATCCTTCTCACACCATCAAATCAGTCCCAGCCACTTACTTATTGTGCACTGTCCCCTGCAAAAAAGCGCAGGCTCTACCAGCCAGACTGAAGGGCACCCAAAAGTCCTAAACCTACGGTCTGCAAGGGCCTTGAGCAGGCCATACTGAAGAGAAGCCGCGAGCACAGCCAAAGGCAGGCCACGGACTGCCTCTGAGGCCAGGAACTGGGCGAACAGGTGCTGAACATAGCCTTGGAGGTCCCTTTTCGGGGGGTCCCCAGATTAAGGATTGTAATATTTGGGGTCTATTGTACAATGAAAACGTCGCACGGAGACAGAGCCCTCGCTGGTGCGGCCCATACAGCCAAGAAACCACAGCGATGTTTCGAAAGGACGAGCATCAAAGGGTAGATGACACAGGCGGCCACAACGGTCGCTGCAAGCGACAGCGCACTTGCCTGCCAAGGCATCACCCTTATGCCAAGTCACCTGCAAGAACACAATGCGAAGCCTTGACCCGGCGTCTTGGCTGAATGCGGGAGACTGCTAAGCTGCAGCGGAAAATGCTGAGAGCCAGTATCCTCAAGACGTTCTCGATAACCTTGCTTGCATTTAGGCTTTAAGTGTGCTCAGCTCAGAATCCGCTGAGACCATGACCAGGGAGAGGCTGGAGATCAACATCACGCCTGCCCGCGTGTGCATCTTTCACTAGCACGGAAAAGGCCTGCTGGCATCATGTCATCTGCAAACTCTGCCTGCCATGTTGGGATGCTCTACACCTCCATCCCCGTCCAGATCCGACAACGTGGACCTCGATGTCACTTTACCAACACTGCCGTCCCACTCGCCAAAGACGTCACCGTAGAGGGTGGACACAAAAAGCGTCAGACCCCAGCTGACAACCAGCACCTCATCAACGTGACCAGGCAGACGCATACAAGAAAGCAGGCTTTTCACAGATCAGCACAAACATAGGGCCAAGTTGCCAAGCATCGACAGCCAAACGTGAGCGGGTCATTGCACCAAGGATTCCACGGATAGGTCATGATGCAGGCGTGCAGAATCCATGCACGCCACGTCTCCAGGGCAGGGCCACATGAAGTTCCACGCTGAGGCACCGCATGCTTCACCAAAACATCATTCTATTCTTGGAACAGTACTTCATTCAAACTGCCCATCCTCAACAGGTTTTGCTGGTCTTTTGCACTGCATCAGCTGTGGTGCCCAAGCTTCATCCCAGGGCCGAGCATCAATCTCTCTTTCGTCTCGCGCCAGTGACCGGCTAAGCAGGAAGGCGCAGGCCATGAGCCTCAGAGGAATAAGCCAATGAGGTGAGCAGGGGCCAACCCTCAGCTAAGGCAAGGCCAAGCAACGAGGCAGCCGCTATAGCGGCACCCACAAAGTCCGTGGGCTTCAGGAAACAGCGTTCCATGCAGGATTCAACACCGAACAGGGCCTCCTCGAAATCCAA